GTAAGTGGGTATAGTATGCACCACCATTCAAGTGTCACTGATCTTCCCGAAATCAGGTCGATGAGGGCTTTGTACCCAGAAATTACCCAAATGCTCACGATGGGACCTTCAAGGATACAGCTTCTGGATAGATCAACCTCAGTTGCTCTGATGCTGATGTTTTTGGGGGAATTTTGAGCGCTGTCGGTGGATCACAAAATATTCACCATGCTCATAATCGTATCGGCGTTCTCAATATCTATAAAGGCGACACCCATCACTATACTTTCATCGATTATAAGGCCGCTATAGTAATGTGCGTAGTAGAGTCATCATATCAACGTTTGACAAAATACTCATGTACCTCATCTAGCGGTTTATATGCTCGTGGTGACTTCCGAAAGGCGTGAGTTGTGCTTGATAAAGCACACTCGGCGGTGCGTGCTTTTGCATGTCACCCGGGCTATCCATTTTATGAATTTCTTCTCTTTCTACTACATCCTTGCGCCGCGCGGTGGCAGAGGAGGGCTCTGTCTAAATTCTAGACTCGGAGTCCTGTTTTGTTCTCGCTCGATACCGTACCCTTTTGATTCCGAATTGTTTCTACTACGCCCTTCTGCCGCGCAGTGGCAGAGGAGAGCTCTGTCTAAATTCTAGAAATTGGCAGCAGTCCTGTTCTGTTCTCGCTCTATACCACTTTTTCCAAGTTGCATACTCAATGTAGGAAATGTTTCATGATCCTCAACGTCCTTGCATTCGAAAGCCTGAGGCTGGAAGGATTGCTCTAGCATGCAGGGATTATACAAATCGTACAACTCCCCCATCATTCCGCGAAAGCCTACTGGCAGCACAAGTTCAACATATATTATGCTGTAGTTATCGCCTCTCTTGTGGACAACAGCCTGTGTTGAGATCACTGATAGATTCCGGGTGAAACTCAACGGTCAATGTTGCAAGTCTTAAGCTGATTCAAGAGTCGATAAGCCTGGTAAGTGCTCAGTTGTGTACAGTGTAACACTAACCAAGTCTCGTTCAACACTGAACAGTGTTGAGCTCGTTGAGCTCAGTTAAGCTAAGAGGGTAAGCGAGTTTGATCCCGACAGCGGTGTTCCGACGCCGAGTTGATTGATTGTTCTACATTTACACAACTTTCCTTTCCAAGCAGAAAAGAGTTGAAAGTTGAAAGTTCTGAAACCTCTGGAAAGTGGAAACGGAGAGAGTTGTCAGATAGTACACGTGTGAGCCAGAATCCTCTTCACAAAACAACCCAAATCTCTCTCTCAACATCTTTAATCCGTCTAGTACTAAGTATATCCCTATCCACAATAGCGTGTGCTCTTTGAAAGAAGAGTAACGTTACAGAAATCTTCATTAGAAATCGACATCAACGCCGACAGTCCCAATATTGACATTCGGGTCATCCGAATGTCCGCTCATGAACTTCAGTACCGAGATTATTGGGAGGAAAGGGACTAACAGGAAGGCTGGAACTTAGAGTCATCGTTGCGGCTCAATTGAGATTGAGTTCAATGAGCTATGTATTGGGTTTATTGTTGTATGCGGGTCCCGAGTCCCTTTCTGTTCATCATTGGGTAATTCCTGTTCATTTGAGGGTGGAAGAAGAAAATTTCATGGTATGTATGAGTATTTACCCTGATAGTACTTCTGCACCCCAGACTTTGTCGTCGAAAACAAGTCGTGGGAAGAGGAAATGTTTGACCGGTCCGTTCAAACCGATTAGCAAGGATCAGGATTCAGCACGTTGCGAGGCTGTTTGCCTACAGCTTCTAAGTTCTTATCCTACTACCTCGTCCTCTTTCTCTGTCTTTCCGCTCGCAGGCAACGATCGCTGTTTGCTGATTATCTATAACATGTCTGATCAAAGGCCACCAGGCCGCACCATCAATCACGGTGTGCTTGGTGGAAAACGTCCTCGTCGGCGACAACGAGCCTTCGAGGATATGCATGATGATGAACTTGTGAGGGTGAGTTAATACGCACCGTTCATTATTGACCGTCTCAACGATCTACTAGACATATTACGATGCGTTTTCGAGTGATGTACCCAATGCACAATACGTTCGAGTGGACCCAATCCCAACTCATTCTCCCAACTTCACCTGCTCCAATGCCGATATTTCTGGGGGAATGATGAGCGCTGTTGGTGGATCGCAGCATATCAGCGAGGATCATCATCACCACGATACATGCAACCATATCGGCGTTCAGAATGTCTATAACTACAACTATACTATCATTGATTACAAGGCTGCTTTCATCATGTGCGTTTTCATCGTTATCCGGAACAGTCCCGACAAGCTGATCACTCTTGCGATTCCCGTCGTATAGTGGTTTATTTGGCGAGGTGATTCCAAAGGCATGAGTTGTATCTGATATGATACTCTCAGAGGCGCATGTCCTTGGCTTTCACCGTAGTGCTTATTCGTCATCCTATCTCAGCGCAACAATATCATCGAAGTTTACATGCATGAAGTTATACTACACATGTATACGGGGAACTGCCAGGTGCAATATCATTGGATCTTCAGTTCAGTGTCACTACGCTGCAGTTGTGCCTCGGCCACTGGTGAACACGCTCGGAGCAGGCTCTCAAAGAAGTGGTCTGGGTTCTCTCTAGTCTATAGAGATACCAATATCTCTGAATTTGTCTATGAAACAGTGATGTTTTATTTACACAACAAATCGATATTGCTTGTGCAAAACTCCCCCGGAGGAGACAGTTTGGTGCCTCTTCACTCCCTCCGAGTTCAGTGCTGGTAACCTCAAAGACCGGATCTTACATTTCTCATTATACAGACACTAGAGATTCCGTGTTGATCACACAGCACATAGCAACTTGAATCAATTCAGCCGACTCTTGACAGAGGGGCATAAGCAGAGTCACAGGTCCGGCAGAATATGATAGATGAAGAACTTTCTTTGTTGGTGGGCCCAAGTTGGATGAAGTTGAGTATTTTACGGAACGGAATCCAAATAGTTACTGATTGATTATCATCTTGAGACTGCACTTCTCCATCCAGAAACCTCATTGCTGTAAACAAATCTTACAATCAATCTCCAAAAAGTCGCAGCAATTGACTCTCTACTTCTCCGTGACTTGACCACTGAAGAGGTTTCCTGCTACCGGAAGTAACACAACATGTACAACTTGGACATGAATGTACTCATTTGAACACACCTCTATTTCTCCTTATATGGAATACAGCAAAGACAACGCGGGACATCCGTCTTTGCTACCCAGGTAGAAGCTGCTCTCCCGCATCAAACCGGACATATACTAAGAAGTTTTACAGTGTCCGCTAGTCGACAATTTCAACCCCGTACCCATGCCTTCAAAGTAGACCACGACTTTCAACAATTCACTGTTCCTGGAGATATTCATACCAATCACTGAGTATGCTTCATCTCTGCATTTATTTGGATCACTGTGGGATTCACAAGAGGACTATTCTTTAGCTATTAGTACGGCTCTGGACGGGAACAAGGGAACCAATGACGAAGTAAGGGGATCCATAAATGAACGGGAGAAGCCCGCTCCTCTGAAACTTAACTTGAAATAGTAGGTGTTATGATCATTTTCGCGTGCTCATTGTTGGGCCGAATGTCTCCTCGACGCCGATTCTCCTCAGACACTTCTGATTTCTGCGTAGACTTATATGTGACTACTATAAGTACCATGAAAACCTGGCTCTATCTCATCATTTGGTCCAACATCACCTACTCCCCTCCCTCTCTGGGTATCAAAGCTGGATGGACACTCAATATGAGTTTCCATACGGCATTAGAGGTAATCGGAATAGGGCACGCAACCATGACGGTCGTTCTGGGGAACCATACACAGATAAAACCGTGAGTGCTGCAGTGCATGCGCCAAATAATATTCGTCAAATTTTGCTCTCCTACAGGCTGCCACTGATCTCGGTCCACAATCCCCAAGCCTTACTATGTCCAACGCTGATATCAAGGATGGATGTTTCAATAGTGTCGGCCGAACCCAAAATATTCAAGTTCACGATGCCCACGATACTATCGATATCCGACTCAATATCCATCGTGGTGACATTTATCACTACACTTTGATCGATTACAAGACAGCTATTGTGGTGTGCATATCGTAGGTTATCGACTGGAAAATGTGTGACAAAAAAACTGATCTTTCGCTCATCTGATAGTAGCTGTTTATTTTCTCGCGGTGATTCCAAGGGCATGAGTTGTACTTGACATGGTACACTCAGCGGCGCGTGTTCTTGGATTTCACCGTGACTTTTCGATTTCTTCATCTCCACTAGTCATGCTAGTCATGATTTGCTGTTTACTTCTTTGCGCCGCGCGGTGACAGAGGGGGGCATCGTCTAGATAAATGTCCCGTTTTGTTCTCGCCCATCTCTATGGTTTCTTTGGTTCATCAATATATTCTACGAAATGACTGTCTTGGGCTGTGGGTCTTGTGGCTTTGTACTGTTATACACTATATAACTTCGTGCGTACCTTTGTCCGTCTCCGAAGTAGAGCAATGCTTCATTTCGAGCTATGTAGTATGAGCACCATGAATCCAGATGACATTCACGCTGTACAAGGCCCCTCTTGTAGTATGTACAATTGACGTTGAACGTTGATGGTCACCATTATCAAATCTGAATATCCCATGTCTGGCATCCAAAATTGATTAACCAAGGGCCAAGTAATTTGGCTGCTTCGCGAGTTCATATCAATACTATATGAACAGCTCATAGAAGCTCTCGATTGGGGTTCGTGATAAAACTTCATGTATCTAACGATGACAGACAGCGGACCCGCTCTGGTATGGTCTGCTTCAAACTAATGTTATGAACACCATAATGAAGTCTAGTCTGCCTTTGTGTCAACCCAAGGGCAAGACAGATCTTTTGAGCGTGGATAGCGACAAAACGTGTTGCCAATGAGAATATCACCAAGTCGAATAAGTACGTCAATGATATTTCAATTATGTTGTAATATATCATATCGTCTATGTATCGACATCCGATATGGTGTAGTGGCTAACATTATCGCCTCTCACGAACTGGTGTTGCGCGATAGCCCGGGGTTCGATTCCCCGTGTCGGAAATCATTTTTGGAGAATTTCCTTTGCCTTTTTCCCCAGAAATAGAAGCTCCTTGCGCGTTGTGACCTGTCGTAGACTGTAGTATGTGTTATCGCAGAGCATTCTGAATTCGTTGCAGCTATGATAGCAAGATATGCCGTGTATCTTCCTTCCTTCCTTGGGATATTCAATGTGATTAAGCTGATAGAAACAAAGCAAGAAAGGAGGGACCAGACTACTGTGAATATAAACATATAAGAATAATTTAACGACAACAAAGATATATGTTATGTATGCTTAATAAACAATGATTGACGTTCCAATGCATGCAAAGAGATAGGAAAACAGAAATGTGAAAGAGACAACCAACCAATACCTCAATCTACCACCCCGATCGACCAGCCAATCCACCACAACATCATCCCCACCTGCATCAATACCATCACCAACTCACCAATCACCGCTCCCCACTGACCCAGAATTATCATCCACCAAAACGGCATCACCATACCCCACCTAACCCATTTTCCCCATCCCTCTGCCCTGGATCCCAATCCGATGTCATTCATCCACCTATCCAATACCTGCAGTCTCCAATTCCCTCCTCTCACGCTTCCCAATGCAATCCTTCCTTGCACCACGACCGTACCGAGAGTGCACATGAACACCATACCCAATCCCACCCAATGCCTTAAAGACCTCTTCGGAATTCTCGTGAGTAGATATCGTTTCGGTTCGCCCGTGAACTCGTGTCGGTAAATCGGGACGATTAAGAAGTCTTGAACGTCGTCTCCAATGACTTTCCCATAAGTGCGCCAGAAGGGGGTGATGGTGTCGAGGAGAAAGGTGAGGAAAGACATGCCAAGGTCCCAAAGGTGTTGATACTCGTCTTTATAGCTTTCTTCGAGCGCCGTGATTTGCGAAAGCTGCACACCGTTTGATTAGTTCAATCTCGAATAGAAAAAAGGGCAACAAACCTCTGGATATACAACACTCGTATGGGCCAACGTATTGTTGTACTCCTTCTTCACCTCAGCATGAACCACCTGAGTCTCTTTCAACATTTCCGATACTTCTTTCTCCTTATCCACAACCCTGAGTCTATGCTCTTCAACGTCTTTCAATGTGCGGAGGAGTGCGTCAATAGGGGATTTAAGAATATCTTCCTCGAGGTGACTGGTTTTGTCGCCCAAGTTCCGATTCCGATCCAAAAACTCCCTGAACACCTCCCTCTGCTTCGTCAGCCGGTTGTGAATGTCGTCTACGGCGCGATAGGATTTTAGCCTCTTTGTCGAGCTCGTCACGTTCGCTGGGTCGTGGCTGAACGCTTCTAGGAGCAACGGAGGAAGGCTCAGAGGATTGGTAGGAAAGGGAGGTTTTGAGCCAGAGACCTGGGTTGAATCCTGATCGTTGTACTCAGGTTTTCGAGCAGAAGCGGATTTACGATTGTGCGCAATGCGATTATGAGGATCGCTGTGCCGATTCTCGTGATCACTGTGCTCGTGTATTTCTATTCCATTATCACGGCCAGCGATAGAACTCTTCTGACAAGCCTCATACTCCCGCATCCGCTGGGCGATATGGTTAAGGACAGATCGAATGTGGGTATTTGAGTCTCTGCATGAGGCGACAAGCCTGTGCGAACGGAGGTTAGTCAACAGGGATGAATAATATGGAAGGAAAATGACGATAATTGTGAAAATGAGAAATATAGAAACAACACCCACTGTGCTTTCAACTCATACTCCATATCCTCCCTCGCCTCTTCTGCCTCCTGTTTCTCTGTTATCTCCTGCCTCCGCTTCATTTCGATCGCCAGGCTCTCCTTAGTGGGTAACGAGCCTTTATTACGGACTCGGATCGAGCGAAGCGAACGGGGTGGATGAAGAGTGTGCGCTGGATCTAGGGGATGCAAGTCTCCGCGATTATCAATATCGACTGATTTCATGGCTTCCTGTAGCGTCTGTGGCGAGCCAATCGAACCTATACCCGCGCCCATATCATCACCGACACCGACACTTGCACCAGGTCTGGCAGTGCCCGCATGAACTTCGTTGACACCCATAGCCTCCGTTCTGCCATTAACTTCACCGAGATTACGACTGTGGCCCTGATCGTCTTCAGCAGCATCAGACGACACCGACATATTTCCTTCTTCGTTTCCTTTCTCGACCGTACTTCCCACCGGCCTTCGCCTCAATCCCCAGCTATCCCTGATACGTATGTGACTACTCCGACTGCTTCGTCGACTCTGTGTCGTGGGACTTGTTATGCCTCTCTCTTCCGCGTGTCTTTCCTCTTCTTCGACTCCTCCTGATCCTTTGTCTTCTACACCACTTAGAATCTTCGTACCCTCTTTTCCTGCACCTGCTTCACTTGCTGCCGCAACTCCTCCAAAAAGACTGCTCCAGGTCGATTCTAGACTCCTCCTTGACTCATTAGAGGGTCTGCCTGCCATGGAAGGTTGGAGGTACCTGGACGGTGTACGAGGAGGCTCCTGCGCGGTCGACGTAGAGGCAGATGCCGGCGTAGAAGTCGATGAAAGTTCGGTAAGTAATGGCTCGAACGAGATTCGTCCGCTGGAGTTGGGATCAGGGAAGTAAGGATTATTAGGGTTACTAAGGTTGTGAGGATTTTGCGGACGAGGAAGATGAGGTGGATGGGCAGAATTGATATTGGGATTGGGGGTATACGGCGCAGAAGGAGCAGAGTACGTCGATGGAGGGGAATACGTCGAGTTGGAGTATATGGACGGTGGAGAATACGCTGAGTATGCTGAGTACGCAGAGGGTGTGGCATATCCTGAAGGTATTATGAACGGAGTTTGTGATTGTCCTCCTTCGTCAGGGTAGGAAGGCGAGGAGGTCCCCGTCGTCGGAGAAGGGTGTTCAGGTATAGGTCCCATTGACCAGGTAGCAGCAGAGGGAAACTGTTCAGACAATTGAACGTTACTTGTGATCTGTTCCTTTGCATTCTGCGCATGGATATATTCCTCCATTATCAAAGCAGAGAGGTGCCATGGTGGCCTAGACGGAGCAGTGGCTGTAGTCGTATCTGTCTCGTCCTTGGCATTTTTCTCAAGATGCTTCAACCACACAAATGGCTCTGCGCTCTCCAAGGACGCCCGAACGATGTCATCTTGGGTGGCATACCATTTGGAGACTTTGAGAAGGTTGAAACTGGACGTCGGAGGATTGAGAACAGGAGCAGAACCGAAAGAGGAAGTGGCAGAGGCGTAACTTGAGGCTGCATCGAGTTGGTTGACTAGTGAGGCAGATTGATTTGGTGAGCCGTGTTGGTTTGGCTGATAACCAAGCGAACCATAGATCAAATTGTACCGCCTTCCAATCTGATCAGCCGTTATTATCACCTTCTTATTCGTCGACTGAGACGAAACTGTCTTTATCCTAGAGAGCTTGACTGTAGAACAAACGAATTGCACCGTCATATGAGAATAGGGATTGATCTGCGGCATAGCAGGACCTACCAAAATACTCTTCTTCATGTCTCTTCAGCTCTTCTTCATTCGGTAGGACAAGCATCAGTTCTCGTTCCTTCTCCTTCTCCTTCTCCTTGTCTTTTTCCTTCTCCTTTCCCTTCCTCGAAACAGCAGCACTCAACGACCACCTCTTCTCGCTCTTCTCTTTTTCACCCTTTTCCTTTGATTTATCCTTGTACTTATCTTCATCTACCAGCTCGTATCCAGTTCCAGACCAATCCAAGGTCTCACCTCCATCAACTGAAATCGGAATCGGGTGTAGCAACCTCCTTCGTCTCTCTCTTTGCCGTTCTTGTTCTTGTTCTTGTTCTTGTTCTTGTTCTTGTTCTCGTTCGCGCTCCTCTCGCTGCTGCTGTTCCCTCTGCTTCTGCTGCTGCATGACTGACTGCTCTTGATGTTGTCGTTGTCGTTGATCCACAGAAGAAGTACCAACACCGATAGATGGGGCGAAGTCAATTTCCGCCGTGGAAGGAGCTGTTAGTACCGACGTGGCCAAGGCCGTCGTAGGAGTAGTCGGATTAGATGGAGCTTTCGAGGAAGTAAGAGTTGTAGAAAGAGCTGAATGGGTAGAAGTAGACATAGTAGGCACAACGCTTGGATCCGGGAACGCAGTTGACCTCAAAGGCGATGACGGTCTGTCTGTGTTTAGTAAGGAGCTTCGTTTGCCGCTGGGCGATGATGGAGCAGGAACGGAAGGATGAGTTCGTTGATGTTGGTGGAGTTGACCGGATTTCCGTCGCGCTTCGCGTCTGTGTTTGAGTTGAAGCGCACGTTGAACGTCTTGTAGAATTCGTGGGTCTGTTCGTCATTATATTTATGCTCCTTCAACGAACATAGTAATGTAAGACATGCCTTCGTGAGCTGTCGAATGATCAATGACCAGAATCACAGAGCAAGGAACTAGACTCACAAAGATCATACTCATCCGAAAATGCACCTATTCCTTCCCAGCCAGAATCCAGCGAAGACGAGTCATGGTGATCATCTTTGCTGCTTGAGTCCAAGTTGCTGTCTACCGTCGAACGGAACGCATCAGAAGCTACTCGGCGACCGCTAGTAGTTGATGGTCCCAACCCCGGAGCCGTGCTCGGGCCCATGCTCAACGTAGGCACTCTCTTGCCCGGTCCCAGACCCAAGCCACTACTGCCACCTAGTGTCTCTTTCCAGTTACTACCGCTTCTTAACGAAGACCCATACACGTTCCCTGCATCCACGGACACCACTCTTCTTCGAGCATTACTGGATTCCCTAGTATCCACTGCATCTCTATGTGAGCCACCTCTCATCGAGCTCCCTCCTCCTGGTCCACCTGATGCACTGTTTCCATGACTAACAGTCTTATGGTGAGAACCGGAAGCTGCAGCTTTGCTGGGGCTTGTACGCTGAAAAGCGTAGTTTGGAAAATGAATCCTCGTTGAGTTTGAATTTGAAGCTTGATCATAATGAAGATTCTGAGTATGTTGTTGATGCTGTTCCAGAGAGTCTACTTCATCCTGAGAGGAGTCTTTCTTCATCCGAGAATCCGAAAGTCTACTTTGTTCACGTATAACGTATAACCGTCGACGTCGACGTTGACCGTTCAAGACGTGCAGACAGACCCAGTACACAGCGCGGCAGAGAGAAAAGAGCAGAGGAGAAAAATCCCAGTTGGGATAGGGAGTTGGAGAGGAAAGAAGTCTAGAGAAGGTGAGGAAGGCGTGCGGGAGACTTTGATCTCCGTCGGATAATGAATCAGACGCTCCGGCGCTTATTCTATCACGTTCGATCTCCTTTCCCTCAAGAGAAATCTGGGTTTGAAGCAATGGCTTCTCGTTGGAATCTACCTGGACTCACGACTATGACATGATCTCTGCAGGAAGTTAAATCCCGCCGATGCTGATCATTGCGGTGAGCTTCACCGGCAACCCTTTGATTCTAGCACTCCAACCGAAGATCTCCCTCCACTTGATTCAAGCCCATAACAGTTATGCGTCGTCTCAAAGGGATTCTGGGTGATAGATATGGAGAGGGTAGACCGGAGCTCACAAGGGTGGAGGCGAGGGAGATGTGGAGTATGAGTTGACAACGCTGAAGACGCAGTGAGTGTTTTGTCTGTTTCTAATTTTTCCTCGTCTATTCTCCTTGGCATCTCTTGTTTCCCATTTATTCGTTCTAATCCTCATCTCCTTCACTAATTCTTTGTCTACGCAGATTTGTCACCATAATACATACATATTGTGCAGCAAATACGGAGCCATCTGAAGTTCGTCATGATATGTTGTGACGACATGCGCGTTCAGAACGTTCAATGTTCAGCATAGGCATCAGTTCAACAACACCAACAATCTCATCGTCATGCATCATCAATAGCCATCATAGCTCCGTTCCCGCTCACAAACCGGACCACGACGATCGAGCCAATCGGATCAGTCTTTAGATTCGCTCGAATCTCTTCCTAACACTCTCAGTATTCCTCCCTTTCAGATACGACCCAGTAAAGTAATATCGCTTGACGAAGAGACCAGGATACTATAATCGAATTACGACGATGATGGTCCGCTGACTATGATTACTAGTGATATCCCATTGACGCTATACACCGAGAACGTCTAAAACCAGTGCCACACGTACAGGACGAGGCTCACGATCGCAGATAAGTACTATGTATTGGAGGCATTCAACATTGTCCGAATGCAAGCACATTGATGCGAAAACGTGTTTTTCTGGTCCACAAGAGCGGCGCCGTATAATCCGAACTTTCATCGCGCCTGTTTTCGCTCGCGCGAAGCAGCACGAGCAGAAAAGGCACCAGGCTCTCGCGATTAACTTAGCTCTATACCGTACTGCAGTGCTCCACTTCCCTCGTGAAACAGACCTTTTTCTTGTCGACGTTGAACTTTCTTCGGAATAATTTCGATCCAAAAACTGATATGATATAACACACTGAGGCACTGAGCTCATAGAATGCGCTCACTCTTTCGTGAACTAAAAAGATAGACAGCCAAACTACGGAGGTCAAGAGCTATAAGTATTAAAAACATACCACATAAACGCATTCCGACACGGGGAATCGAACCCCGGGCTATCGCGTCTTGATGAATGAGAGGCGATAATGTTAGCCACTACACCATATCGGATCCCTGATGGTTGTTTGATGTACATACAGTATGTTGTGCATCGGTTTTTTGGAGTTCAGTACTGTCATTACCCACTATGATTTTTGTCAATCGATGTTTGCGAAATTATACGGTTACCTGCCCGCCTAGCTCAATCGGATAGAGCGTCAGACTCTTAGTCTAACATAGGTGGATCTGAAGGCTGCGAGTTCGACCCTCGCGGTGGGCTATGATACAAGACTTGGTGTTTTTTTCCAGATCAGTGGCATTTTATCGACATTGTATAACGTTCCTTACGCGCCTTGAACAGAAATCTCTAACCAATTCATCGACCTCTACTATGAGAATTTTCGATAGGAGTTGCGGTTCAAGTACATTCGACATTTTACAGAGATACGACACACTTTTTACAAGGAATCCGAGTCAGCAATTGATCAACCCCAGAGGTGCAAATGGGCATTCGTAGGTCCGCCAATATACCTCTCTCCAGACACAGGATGCTCAACGAGAACCTTCTCAACCGCCTTCATTTCTTCACTAGTGAGGAGGACATCACCAGCCTCCAAATTTTCTAGAGTACGGCTCGCTTTCCTATCGATTAGGACAAGACTAGTCAGTGGAGTGTATAATGCTGTCAGGCAAGAACACATACGATGAACCAGGAAGCGGGATCATGGTTGGACCAAGAGCCGCCACCCAAGCAATGCATAGCTGCCCAGTAGTAATGGGAGGCTTTCGATTCTCTGCGATCGCTTTCAGCCCTTCGACGATAGCCAAGTTCGCCTTGATATTATCTTCCTTGAAGCGGTCAAATCTGGCACGGAAGTCTCCCTCTATAACGAGAAATGAATCAGCAAGTGATGATAAGAATGTCAAAATCCTCATTCACCAGGGAGGTCTGCAGAACTCGTGATAGTTCCTGTGAGGAGACCATGTCCAAGGGGTGAATACGCTAGAACAGAGACACCGAGTTCCGTAGCAGCTGCGATGAGATCTTTCTGTTCTTGTCCGTACTCCCATGCACTGACTTCCACTTCAACTGCGACGATAGATCCAGGATGAAACTGAAGGGACATACAATTAGATGATCACGGAATCAGAACGCAGCTATATGTCGAGCTCACCGAATTCGCCTTTCTGAGTGTACTCCCTTTACATTCTGACAGACCGATATGTGCGAACTTTCCTTCATTTCGCAAAGTGATCAGGTTGCTCATGATAGTCTCCAACGGAACTTTTGGATCGATACGCGCAGGCTCATACAGATCGATCTTCTTGTTGGGTCCAAGTGCCTTCTGACAATTGTCCACACTGTGTCGGAGGTACTCCATCCTGAATGAGATCCGGAACGATTTAGAAACAACGTCGGTGGTTGAAACTCAATTTGAAGAACTGACGATGAATCTGGCATAATCCAGCCTTTACCGTCTGGTTTCATTGCGCCTTTGACAGAGAGAAATGTCTTCTCCGCGTATTCTGGATATTTTTCGAAGAATCGAGAGAGGAGCAAGAGATTTCCTACACCCCAGCTCTTGTCGTAGAATTCACCTTTTGGTGATGCCAGAAAACCAAGGTCAGGGTTTCAAGTTACTACGATTATCAGGTTATTTCTCACCTGTGTTCAAGAACATCTTGGTCCCAGAAGGAAGCGCGTCGACACCCGCCTTGATAGATTCAAACGCTTGCTCGTCGCTGACGGCCCTGTTGTGGAATCACCGGTGAACCATCGAATGATAACTCGAAACGACTGCAAAACGCACGACAACATCATCAAGCCATGCTGTGAGATAACATCAAGTTAGTGGAAACCCCCAGAAGAACAGAACGATCTGGAGACTGACAGCAACTCGCCCAACAGAGATGTGTGAAGCTGAGCCTCCAAGTTTGATTGATTGAGATACCATTGGTGTGGGCTTCGAGGATGTATAGTCTCAAATGTAATGTAGGAATTAGAAGTCATAACTCGTGTCTTATATATCATCCCGTCGAATGCAATCGTCAGATCGCTTGGACAAAGTCCTTTCAAACATCTCACCTCTGGTAAAGAACTACTCCGTTATCCGCTGCGCTGACGCGAGAGATATTGATAAGCAGGTGACTACTGACCAATGTGTGCTAGACGACAGACAACAGTGGAGTTCTTTGACTGTAAATCTGTATCGTTCGTGAATGAGTACAAACCAACGTGCCGGAGAGGAAACGCAAACATTTCGGCAACGAATGAACCCGTGAGCAGGTCCACCGACCACAAGCCATCATTAATTTCTTCCACAATCTTCAGATTGATCGACTCATATGGCCAAAGTAGTATGAATCGGAACGATGCAATCCTCTCTACATTCATTGCCCCACCAAAATATATCATTCTCGAGGAGTCCCCATGAACACGATAGTTTTGTAACCGTTACTACTTCCCCTGTGACGATTTTGAGGTCCCTCGTCGACTAGATTTTGGAAGTATCTCGAAGAGGTAGCCTGTGTAACAAAGATAGAATCACCAGATTGATCATGATCGATCGACAAAAAGGTATGTAGGAAAGCATATATCGGGGTCAGGTACTTCAATTCAGAACTTGTACAGACCTATGTACATGTACATAGATGTCCATACGGCCGACCCATGATAGTAGGCAAGTCCTGCTCTGCAATCAACTCTTGAATGACGATCAAGTTAACTTTTTACTCACATATGTACTATGCTCTTTCCTATTTGAAACGAAAACAGTCGAATAGGACTGCAACTCCGCCTACTTTTCGACTCTGGCTCCGGCTTCCCCTTCGACGGCAAACGTAGCCAAGATATTGCCATATATGATGAATCATGTACAGAGAATGTATATGGTCATGTAGAAAAGTCAGGATATTAGCAACGAATCCAACATACAGCGCACCTTTTCCCAACGTATGCACTCCTTGTACCTTTTTGATGGGCATTGCCGCGACCGTGTCCTCGAGCGGGGGTCCAATATTGAATTGAGCTGGTTCAAGGTGTATTTGATACAAAGGCATTCTGAAGGTTCAGGCTATGTCTGTGATCTTCTCTCCTTCAAACACTGATTGAGCAGAATCGGAGTCTCCCAGTCGCGATGCATCCTGTAGATATCGCGCCAATATGCCCGAAGTTGTCCTCCCCTCTTGACAGCACGTTTCATCAACCATGAGCATCGAGTCTTTGTATGACTCTGTCAGTGGATTTTTGAAAGCAGCTGAAGACTCCACGCCCGCATTCATGTCCTTGGAAATTTGGGTTGAGTTCATGGCAAGCCCAAGTGAGTAGCGCCATCGAATGACCTATGATTGTTGGAGGCTCTGCAGCTACCAAGGATATCGTGATCGAGAGTTTCAGAAGTGGAAAATGCATCAGGCTGATTTTGGTAGCTTCAGAGGTTGACCGCTGTTTCGTTCAAGTTGCTGCCCAGATAACTTGCCAATCCTCTTGGATATGAGTAAGGCAAAGGACGGATAGAGCCATGAGCGTATATGACTGTCTACAGATGAAATGCACAACGGAAAGGTTTCGCGGAAATGCAAATTTCTATGAGTGGCGGTTGGGGACTGTTGGGGAAGAGTCGAGGTAGGTCAAGGTGTATTCGGACCACTTGATGATGATCACACAATAGGCTTATCTAATCTCTTATCTTCTGCGCTCAATGTCTCGTCATGAGAAAATAAACGCCCGATGAACACCTATCCTACCATTACCATCGACCTGGTACAGTTTGTTACAATACGTCTCCCTCGATAGCTTCATTGAACCCAGTCTACTTCAGATCCTCGACCGGCACACTGTCAAGGATGTCCTTCGGGCCATTCTCGACGCAATACTTTTTCATCGTCTTTTTGGAACGATAAAGCCAATTACAAGGGAGGTTCTAGGTGTAACCATGGTTCAAACAATGCTTCCACATTCTGCTCGCTACCTGAAGGCTGATGATGGTACAGCCAGGTGTATCGGACCCGGAAATGGAGCAACTTGTAGAGGACAAGGTAGATTTATTCTGGAAAGGCATCGAAGGTGGAATGAGCAAAAGGGGACAGGTACTGTGTCGTTGACCATAATCTCTTCACATTCGGACTGATCAGGTTTCAAAAGATCGTAGTCACCTTTTCTGAAAAACGGCCGAAGAAAAGCTGGTTTCAAGTCTATGTCGGCGAGGAAGATGTGCCATGGGAACAATGGTTTGTCCCTGCTAGTTGCTATGTGTCGACGCTCGTTTCATCCTTTGCGTTCGGCTACGTATTTGAGCAGGATAATCAATGCGGAAATGCAGCAACCTCGCGATCGAGGTAGGTACATACTACATCATGAGCGTTCGATCTTCCGTTTCTCAACCCGTCTTTCTCGTAGATCGTCAACAGTTCGATACAGCACTGTCGAACACCCTTACCAAGGCTATCCACACCATGCTCACACATACATCTTCTGATCGTGGTCGTACTGCTGTTCCGCTTATCACAAATGCTGCTACAATCTCGCCGTTCCCCATCAGAGTCTCCGTCAAAGTTGGAGGGGTTGAAATTGGCTAGAGGCGTTTATCCACCATATAGGCTTGGGTAGTCAATGTAGCGTGCTCGACTGAAAATTGGTGGTTGTTGAGCGGGTGAATATCTACGTTGGTGCGTTTCAAAGTGTATACTTATATCCACGTACAATATAGGTGTTCAAATTGCACAGTACAAGTTTCAGGTGCTCGGCCGGGTTTGAATCATAAGCACACCGAAGTAGCGCTTGGACTCCCATAATTCGGAGCCTGCCATCTCTCAGTTGATCCTCGTATATTCTTCGTTCTCCCCCATGCACTGCACACGAATAACTTCTCACAATCAAACAGGTCATTTGTATTCATATATCGTGTCTGTGTACGAGTCTCGGGATTGAGGTGCCGGAGTGCTCATGGCAGTTCTCAAAATGCACCTTGCTAATCATAAATATCTTTCGCCACCACGAAGACTACATTGCTACGTGACTGTACGCTGACGACGCACTGCTTAGAATGTCTGGCAGAAACCATGTTACCTAGAGGCAGGTTTTTTAGGCTTTTCGTAGTTGGCCTTGCTTCACAATTCTAGCCAGGTGCTGTTGAATAGACAAAAAATCTGGCATCGCATAAGGTTCCTTTCGCATCAGTCCACATCCCTATCAACAAAGTTCCTGTAGGTGTGGTCTCATCGATGAATTGCACCTTGTTCTCAGAAAGGCATCGATTCAAATTGACACATTGGGACTAA